TGCGCTACGATGCAGAGGTCAGTCTTTCACCAGCAGCCTACCGACTATCATCTGTTTGTATAATATAGAAAGATCTATTTATCTTGGAATTCACATCTAAAACAGCTTTTCTAGAGTAAAGTTCAAAATTAATTATTAAAGAAAACAAAGGAAAGTCACTCTCTTTCTGAGAATTAGAAGAGAAGACTGATTGCATTCAAGTTTGCATAGTCAATAGAAAGCTAGCATTTGGTTAGCTTAGCATCAGTGGTGGAGTAAGTATTCAGATCATTTATTAAAGTAAAACTACCAATACAGCCATGTAAAAATACTCAATTGCAAGTGAAAGTCTTGAAAAAAAGCTGTATTTCTGTAAAAATACACAAGTATGAGCAGCAAACTGTAGTAAAAAGTATAAAGTAGAAGTCCTGGTTTGGTCCCTCTGACTGATACGTCATTAGATTATTAATCCTGCAGCATCAGTGTGTAAGCAGCTGCACTTTATTTACACTTTTATATACAAGATAAATATGAGACATATGAGAGTGACCAAAAAACTAAATTCTCAAGTTCTTTAATTTTAGATTTTTTTGGGAGATTCTGGATCATTTAAACATTTATTGAAAGTAATCGATGTGAGAAGTTAAGAGGGAAGAATCACTATTTAGTGGAGCTGTTTACCACTCAGACATCTGAAATGTGACCCTGACTACACGCTGCTTTGATAAGAGTATTACAAGCCTAAAATTTGGAAACCACTGACTTAATCTTTAACAATACTGTCTTTTGTAATAGGTTGTCATATTATCCACTGTGTTAAATTGTCATCTTAGAAGGAATTTAAGCTGTCAAATAAATGTAGCCAAAAGTAAAATACTTTCCTTGAGCATAGTGGAGGATAAGCATACAGGAAAAAAACAGAATAAATTACAAGTGCATCAAATGTGCTTAGTTTCTCTCCACTGCTGCTTGGCCTAAAGACTGCAAACGGGTGGAAACGAGTAGCCCAACTATTCAAAATTGATCAACTAGTACCTTAAAAGCTGGCGAGCTAAAATGTTTTCTCTTGTTTCTTCCATCTGTACAAAAAAACAACACATAAAAGCAAGTAGTGGTTTTAAGAAGACTATTTCTTGGCTGGTCGTTCCAGACCTGCTTCCTGTCTTTATGCTAAGCTAAACTAACCAGCTACCAGCTTCTGAGGTCTCTGCAAGGGTGTATTTCAAGATATATTTGTTCCATTGAGTTATTCAAAATGTCTCGTTCCTTTTCCTGGAGAATATCTGACCCAAATGAACAACACTTTGATTATTTGTGTATTTTATTTGATGTTCAGGACCTGGAAGAGTTCTGCTTCAAGTTCTGCGTAAATCACCTGACGGAGGTGACCCAGACCACTGCTTTCTGGCAGATCGATGGCAATCTGCTCAAAGATTTCATATGTCGAGCCAGTCGCTGCGGAGCCTTTAAAAACTGACCTCAACCCGAGGTGATGATCGGAGCAGAGGATGCTGCGGGACCCCAGGAGTGATTTCTCCAAGTACGTCATCACCTCCAGTCGACTACGCTCGCTGACAGATGGTTACACAGTGGAGGTTGTTAGATGAGCACCATCACTGCTGAATCTGTTACTCGTCTCATTCCAGATGAGAATGTACATAAGCTGTACATAGGAAAATGATAAGCTGACAGGTAGCAGCATCGTTACATACAGTAGCTGTTTCCCACAGTGCCTGGCCTATTGATTTACACATATTGTGTAAAGTGGGAGCTTAAATGCATCGAGAAGCATGCTAGTGCTTGATCAAGTTATTTCTTTTTAACTTGAAAGTTTCCTGGCCTGATATCACTTTACGTTTTCTATTTTTTTCTGTTGAATCGACCAAGTTATTTCAAGGGGTTTGCACTTTTGTTTTGAATATCATCGTTTGGGATGTGCCATCTGGATTCATTGTTTTTAGGTTGAAGTATGAGACTTTTTGCACTTGTAGATGTCAGGATTGAAAAACTATTTGAGGTCTGAACACTGACATATTAATACTTCAGCATTCGAGGCTGGATTAAATCCATTCAGGTCAAATTCCAGTCAGCGTAAAGTGGTCCTAGTGGCCTCCACAGCTGCAATGGTAAGGTGTGAGGATGTAAGTTACAGAGTCAGGTTCAGTCTTAAATTCTAAATTTCACTCTGTTTGTTGATGCCACGGGTTGGTTTGTGTTATTATGGGCAGCTCCATAACATTAATCCATCTAATCATCTATTTTTACCACACAAATAATTCAGTTGGTAAGAACGAGCAGTTACAAATGTACAGAACCATAAGAAACTAAGGAGACTTCTGGTTTGTTTCAACCTGCCATAGTTCCTATTATTGTGGCTTTAGGTGTCAGATAACTTTTCTGTTACCTCTGCTGTAGAGATTCAGGGGAATGAGGAGTCACACAGAACAGCCATTTAGCATGAGCTCCCTGCAGCGTTCCAAAGAAAGACGACTTTTACATGAATCAATTTAAACATTTGTTTTTCACGTGCGACTGAAAGTAAACACAGGAATTGGTCATCTTGAAAGGCCAGTTTGCTAACTATGTAGAGCTTTTCTCATTGTATGGAGAGCTATGTAAATGCACATGTAAAAAAACAAAACAAAAAACAACAACTCATGTGTGCTGATAAATATAGCAGCGATTAGGTAGGTAGATCCCAAATACAGTTAGCAACATGGCTGTTCCATGCTGCTAATGTCTGTTTACCTTCGCTCAGACACAAAAACAAACATTTAAAATGATTCATATAGAGATGATGCTTTCTTTGGAAGGCTACGGGGAGCTCACAGTAATTTCCTTGCTCAACATTGTTCTCAAGCTGCTTTGTGCAACTCTTCAAAGCCCAATATTTGTGACAGTGTGGAACGTCCACACAGCAAAGTGCGCCAACTGTGCATGTGCCAGAAACACAAATGATGCTCGAAACAAGAGCTTGTTAGGGAGTGAGGCTGTGATTCTCCGTCATCCACACCTTAAAAATTCCACAATAAGAGCTGTAATTGAAGTCGCTGCTGGACTTTGGAGGTTGCTTTGATTTGTAGCTCTATGCTTTCCATTAATGGTGCCCAAATTCAGTGAGACGTTCAGAACTCTCCAGAAATCCCGTGTGATGTCCACCCACTGTGCTCCGCAAACCTCGGGAATAATCATTGACACAGTGCTGCAGTCCAATCTGTGACCAGCTGCCATGTTCTGTGAAAGTCAAAGCCAGCCTTACAGAAACAGCCACGAGATCCCTTGTGTTTTTCTTTGTTCAATATGAGGGGCAGTGTGACCATCTGCACAGCACACTGATGTGTGCCTGTTGCAGTGTCAACAGAACTGTGTGTGCATTTCATAGTCTGTATCAGTCAGTGTGTGAAGATGCAGAAACCAAGTACGCAGGGGTCCGTGTCATCTCCATTTCATCATCTCCTTAACTCCCTTAGAGTCTGTGTAGATGTGTGCAGCCCAGATTTTGTGTCCGGACACTGTAGGACAATATTAGTGCACATGCTTGGCAAAAGTGTGCATGTGTGGAAAATGTACAATTCTACAATTTCATGTAGCAGACGCTTTTATCCAAAGCGACGTATATCTGAGAGCAGATACAAGACAAGCAAGGATCTAGTCAGGAGAAAACAATCTGGGTACGTGCCATAGAACAAGTTCAAGTGTGATATGGCGTTGATCCCAATAGCAGGCTGTGTGGGAGGTAACAGGAATTTTTTTGTAGATGTAGTTACAAGGGAGTATTATACTCCTTTGCAGACAGACGGCTGTGGACGCTGCAGATGCATAGTTATTATACAACTTTCTAGTCTGCTTGCTGGACTCGGTTTCATATAAATTCAGACTGACATCTATGTATGTATCTAAGTATGAGCAGTACTCCTCTTGAGGACACAAATCTGGAGCTGACCATGGACGTCCACACAGTGGTTTGGACTTGGGCACATGACAAAATTGAATCACTTGGACACTCTCGGATCATGAATGCATAAAGTGTAACACTGGCCTAAAGACCACTCATGGTTTCCACATCCCCGTGCATTGAAAGCAGACAGTTGATGCACATGTGCTTCTATTCGTACTACAATAGGTACATGCATGTCTGCTACATAGAGCTGTTGCATTGCCCCTCAGACTGAAAACTAAAAGGAGCTCGAGCAGCTGCTTACAGACTGGACTGTGTCAGTGTGAGGCGTATGGACACAGCACGGGACTTTTGGAGAATTTAGAACTTGCCACTGTGTTTGAATACCATCAATGGAAAGGACGTACAAAGCTCCTCCAAAGTCCAGCAGCGACTACATCAATCACAGCTCTATGAGGGATGAATTTCAAAAGGTGTGGATGACAGAAAGTCTCCTTGCACAGTTTCCCCTCATGACAAACACTGGTTTTGAGCAGCAGTTGTTTTTCTAATACACGTGCGGCCGGTGTGCTAGCAGTGTGAACGCTAATTCTTTGGCTGCATCCAGACGTTCTCAGAGGAGTCTATAGGGACATTTGTAGATTTGAGCAGTCTGTGAATATCACAGTCCCTTGAATAGATGCAGAAAGCATAAATTGACCTTAAAGCCACATGAATGTGAAACTATTCCAAGTTGAAATAAACCGAAATTTTCCTTTTAAGATATGTGGCCTTGCAGAAGCTTAGGTTGTGTGGTCCTGGATTTTCTGTTTTTCATCTGCACGATATCTACTGTATGTTGAAAATGTCATTTTACAGTATTAGCATTTATTAAGTTGTTTAGAGACTTCTGCACTATTGCTGTGTGTATTTTAAATAGTATATTTAGTCATTTCTATGCAGGACATTCAAAATGAATAATTGTGTCTATTGATACTGAGTATTATGAAGTGCCAGTTAAAATCTGTGACCTCTGCAAGCAAATAAAATGACTTTGATCTGCTTGTTTTCTGTAAAAAAATAAAATAAAATAAATCAATTAAAAGTCCTTCGCATTTTCAAACATACTGCAATTACCCCAGAATGGAAAAGATGACAATTTTAATGTAACCATCACAGAAAGCATAATCACGTTTGACGGGTCAGTACCATAATGGCTGTTTCTTTGCATGAGTAAACCAGAAGGTAGAAAAAAAACATCTTTATCAAAAATACAGAATGGAAGGAAGACGTTTGGTTTCGTTATGCATCAAACGGCGTAAAAAATTCCAGCTGATTAGTAGTGATTTCTTTACTGTAGCTTACTTGGTTCTCATCATTTCAACACTGCTTGTCTTACGCATTCCACTCTTTCACAATACCATTTGTTAGAAATATTTCCCAAGATGCTCAAGGACGTTCTGATCTGATGACTGATATGATTTTCAGAGCTTTCTCATCTCTCTGTATTGTTAAATTAAATACTTTCAGAATGTAATCTACTGTATATTTCAGCAGCTCCAATATGAAAGCAAACTTGGTTTTACTCATATAGTTGGATACGAAACACATTCAACAAAGTTTGTCCCGTCCAGTCCTGTTACTGTCACAGCTTTTTAAGAATTATCAATAAAAATATAAATATACAGTTTTCATGAAATATAAAAAATAGGACCAACTTGAAATATAAAACTGCACTGGGACTCACAGATTTTAAAAAAACATAGTAAGTAAACTGTAAAATCAGATATCCACATTTTTTACTGTAGCTGCTTACAGACTCATTTCCTCAGTGCTGAGACGACATCTTTCATAGCTGCCTCTGCCTGCTGCAGTTCCACTAGTTTCCTTTGTAGCTCTGCAACCACAGGGAGATGACATTTAGAAATGAAACTTATATCAAAACAAACATCAGTGTCGTATTTTGTAGTCCTACCCCAGTTTACAGACCTAATATAAGGAAATAATATCTAAAAACAAGTTCAGTGTCTTTAAAAAAAACTGCACTATGAAGCAGCTACATCTGCATTTTTTTCCACTGCTGAAATGGTTTTCATTTTGCTGCATGATTACACACAAAAGCAGAGAACTCTAATTGTTACTGATGGTAGGGAAAGGCACTTTGCAGGGGCTGCATTTATATTTAGCCAGATTAAGGGGGGGAGAACACTAACTAAGCCTGCAGCAAATTAACCTCCATAACCACAACAGCATTTGTCACTGCAGTTTTTCAATTAAATGAGATATTTAGACAATAGATTAAAATGAGTCCCAGCTGCAGCTCATCTGATTTGCATGAAGTAGGAGCCAATGCTGGGCTGCGCAGATGCAAGAAAGAGTTCTGTGCTTGTTATTGCTGAAGGTAAAACACTGTTGAAACTAGACTATTGCACAACAGGAAGTTTGCATATGAGGAAAGACACAATGGGTATATTGGGTCAGTGGCTGAATTTAAACAAAGGCTAAAGAAAAACTATGAGGTTTTTTTGGTCATTTTCATACATAACTGTCACTTGACAATATAAGACCTTGCTTTGATCAGCGCCAGTCCTAATATCAAAAAGTAGCTGATGATATCCTTCTGCTCATGTTCATGGGTAGGCTGCTGCTGTCCTATTGGCGTATAGCAACCGTATGTCACTTGCGTCTGGCTGTAGTTGAATGCTACCACTTTTCATCAGCTTTTAATAATTCATTTGGATGTATGTGACTGTAAATATGAAATGCCAAGGTGGTGTACAACTTAGAAAAGCTTCATTACTCCAACTCACTGAATTGGCAATATACTGTATGTTAATGCCAGTGAAGCATTGTTCTAGAGTGTGTGACACGTGCCATCTCTACAGCGACACTCATTACTTTACCTCCCTGCTGCTTGGCCACGAGCTCTGTCAGTTTCCCAGAAACTGCCATCACTGACAGAGCAAGATCATAATCTGTGGAAACCAGGGACACAGTTTAGAACATAAATAAGATGAGACAGATATGTAACGTAGGAGTACGTCTTGTCTCTTACCTTCCTGGCTGGCCTGGTCTGACAAGATTCTGCTGGAGATTTCGTTCATGACATTATTGAAATCAGTAAAGATAGCCTGAGTGCACCTGGCTGCATTGCAGCTTTTCCAGAAGCTGGTGGCGTCGATGCCGTGCTGAGGGTTTGTGGTATGTGCTGTGGGAGAGCAAGAGGAGGAGGAGAGAAGGGACACACGCATGGTTTCAGGTGGAGCCGGGGTATCGGCCGAGCTGGTGCATGGAGGCGACCCAGTAACACTGGCAGGTCGATCCTGGTCAGGAGACGGAGCGGGGTCTGGGGAGCTCTGCTGCTCTGGGACGGAGGCTCCATTGGTAGGCTGACCAGGACTTTGGACTGGACAGCACTCTAAGAGTCGAGACAGTTCCATGTGTTTATCATCACAGCTTACTACGACATTTCAGAAACTAAATTGCTATTTATTTTTGGAGTCATGTGCAAATGTAATGCAACAGCACCTTAATTAAGGAATGACTGTTTCCTACAATACATTTAGTTCAGATTTGTCATTCATCAATGAAAATGTAGTGCAGCAGTAACCCTTCTCACTGCCTTGACCAGGAACACATTTGAGCACATTTCTCACATATATTTAAGCTAAATAATGTGGAAAGTTAAAAACAAGTGAAGTTTCACACAAGACTTTTTTCACTAGCTGCGTGGCTTTAGGGATGGCAGTCATGGTTGGTTGGCCGACTACTTTGGTCCAGACTACTACTATTTAATGGATTACCATGAAATCTTATACAGACATTTGTGGTTCCTAGAGGATTGAGCCTTGATTAAAACCTCATTTTTAAATATCTTTTGGTTGCAGGGGTTGTACTTCAGGGGTGCAAACAGGTGAGAAACTACATGGGAAGAGAAAAGCCTCCACAACTAGTTGGACTGCAGGAGCATTCTCATTTCTAGTTATTACACAGGTGTTTGCAGCTGCCTGAAACTGCCTAACTCTAACAGCCAGTTTGCAGTAAAACAACCTTACCTAAACCATATAAAAAAGAAGTAACTGTGTTATCTGACTACATTAACAAGAAGACAACCAAAAACAAGTCTGTGAGAAATCACAGTCACATTAGACCAGAGAACCCGTTTCCTTCATAGTTCAGTCTTTTATTTGCTATTTTGCAGTCAAGTCACAACTGAAACACCTTCGAACCGCTCTGTGTCATCTCAGTGTCACATTAAACACACCCTACACATGATCACAAGGAAAATGTGTGTGTTGTCTGTCACACAACCCAACATATGGTCAGCTGGCATTTCTCTACCAAGTCAACTTAGAGAAGCTGTGGGCTCCACAGCTGGCTTAAGTCAGCTACATTGAACAACACATCATTTTCATTCTTTAAGTAGCAATATTGATTATTGACCACAAAATTTCTCCTTAAGTGTGCACAAACTTATTAGATGACCTTTTTCAATCTCAAAGCAGCAAATTTCTCTGAAAGCTAAGGTGCTCGACTCGTGCTTTCATTTTTCAAGTCAACAAGACGCTGCATGTTCCTTGCCCAGCAACGCCCTAACATTTGCATAATGGTGCCTTTTTTTCAGTCATATTGCTCACAGCCCTGAAACTCAAACATAGAACATAGTTTGAGGCCTGTGAAAAACTAAACAAACAGCAACTGACTGTTTAGCAGTTTGAGTTACCAATACTACAATAAGTCTACATGCTCAAGACTTTTGTAAGCATGGTCAAAACTCACAATAAGAAAAGTCTTACCTGCATGTGCTGTCTTGACTTCATCTACATTTGCCACAATATCTTTGGGTTGTGTAGCTGATACGGTCGGAGACGAGGGTTGAGGCTTTACCGATGGAAGTGGTGAAGACTCAAAGCGGATCTTCACAGGAAGCAGCAGACTCTGCGACTCAGCATCCTGAGAGGAAGCAAACACATCTCACAACGCTGCTCTGCTGAAAATACACTATATATGAAATTTTAAAAAGTCGATGGATTTTGCTATTAAATGTCCTCCTGAGGCAGATTGATTCATGTTCGTTTTAAGAGGGCATGGGTCAACATTGTGAGGAGCAGACAGAGACTAACTCTGCTTCAGGACTAAATGGGAATTTAAATGAAATGTGTAACAGAGTGTAACCAGAAGATTTTGAAGGAAGGACATGTTTGACAGTGTTGGTCCAATATCTAAGAACTCACAGTGTATAAGACTGGTTCATCTTCATCTTTATTTGTATCTCTGCTCTCATCCTCCGCTTGATTTCCTAAAAGAAGAACAGACATGTTTGCAAAACAAAACTGCGTGCTATGTGTTAGCGTCATACTCTTAACACACTGACTCTGCTGCAGCTACTTACCTGAAGTGGATCCAACGGTGCTCTCAGCATCATTTCTGTGAAGAGAGAACAAAAAATAAACGGTAGGTCACGATGCAATCCATCCAAAAGTCTTGCAAAAAAACATTTATTCTTTATCAGCTGGAGAAGAAATGATTAAATTCTGTGGTCAAGTTTTAATATGTAGTAACTATGTGCAACTTGTGCTGCGGCTTTTCTGGCTCTTTTTTAAAATTGTTGTCTTTGCCTTTACTGGCCTGTTTTTACTGTTCCTGTTTTTATTCTACCAGCCTTTATCAAAGAGTATAATCAGGTATGGGGGTAAAAACAGCATATTTTGGTAATCACGCTGCACAGTTAAAATGTGTGGTACAGACTGCTCCAGTCCCTCCAGTCAATCTGTGAACAGTCTGTTCTCAGACAAGCACATGAAATATTGTCTGACACATTTTATATCCTACTTGCTGAGTCTGAGCTCTTACCCTCAGGCAGAGGATCCAGATGTAAACTCAATTGTTAAAAAAAAAACAACCAAACAAACAAACAAAACTTAAATGTGCCTTCCCTGAATTAAAATTTGAAACAATGTTGATTAAGGTTGCCAATGGATTCATGGTGTCTCTTATCATTTTTTTTACTGCTGGTTATGTAACACAGGCAGTATGTGGATTGTAATGCAATATGAGTAATATATAGACAACAGATATGATTTGGGGTTATGATTTATAACTGAGACGGTTTTACATGAGCATCATTTGAGTCCAAGACAAATTCCCATTGGCGACAATAAATTATATCGAATGGTGATTCAAAAGCAAACTTTAAAGTTAGTTAATCATACCTGACAGGCTGAGTCACAGTTGACACACAAATGCGGAAACAAAACACAGGGGGAAAAAAAGAGGACATTAGCGTATACATCTTCGACTTCTAATGATGATGTTGCTGTGGAATAATCAAAGATTAGACCTACCTGGTGCTTTGGAGCACTGTTTGCACTTTCATCTAAATCAGACTCTAAAGGGGCGAATATATCCATTTCTATGTCAGTTTTATTGTCATCTGTAGGGGGAAAAAAACAAAAGGGAATCACATGAATCAGTACGTTACCAAAAGCATGCTTAACCGACATGGATTAGGTTTTCTATTGTTGCAAGAGGATCAACCTGAATCTGAAGAATCCTCCGTTATTATCCCATTCAAGGTTTCACATTTACGTTTAGAGGGGGTTTCCTCCTGCCTGTGACAAAGAGATAAGGCATCATAACAACTGTGACTGTTACGCTTTAAAAAAATGGGCAGCATAAAAAAAAGCAAAAAAGAAGTCAGTCTAGCCTTCTAGTATCACTACAGTCCCACAAAGCAACTACATTAAGAATAAACTTTTGCTTAAAGTTGCAGTAACAGCGTAAACCACAACATGGTTTTAAAGAAACTTAGATACAACATTTTATTTAACATTACTGCTACTAGTAAGAATATAAATGATTAGAAAACAGATGAAAATGATCTGCTGCAGCACCAAGGACTGTTAGGTTTGTTCTTCTGCTTTGTTTTACAGCAGTTGGTATTTTCTCATCTTTGAGTTAAAGTGAGCAAAGTTTATGATATTGAGGCTCTATGCTTAAGTGGTGATGGCACGATCAGCATGCATGGTGTTTCTTAAAGTGAATTAGTGATGAAGCGCCCTCATGCATGAATCATACATCAATAATAGCCCAGTTTAAACATCATGACGAAAATAGGAAATGCATGGCATACTGTCAATATTTTAGAGACCCCTGCTCTCAAATTATTTCCAAACCAGGCTGCAGTTCAGTGTGTAGAGAGGTTGGTGAAATGTCATGGTTTGAAGCTTAGATTTGGTCACATTTCACAATGGAACAGCAAGTCAAATATGATTATTACAAGAGCCATCAGAAAGTTGAAATCTGATGAGTCATTATGTGTTTAAAGGTTATTTTGGTGTTTTACTAAAAGACAACTTGCTGTTTAAACCTCCTGGGGGTTAGTTTGGAGTTCATAATGTTAGAAATTAAAAAAGAATGAGCTGGGTTGTTGATTTAAGTGGTGCTCCTAAGACTTTGTCCGGACCTCTGAATTCGAATAACATCTAAACTGTAATGATGGCTGTTTGCATGAGACTCAAGTGTAAGAAACAAAGAATTAAAAGAAGTTAGCGTACAAGAAGAGCTGAGTCCAGCGTGCAAATCATCTCACACTTACTTGTCACACTTAGTCAATGGTCTCTGAAAAGCAAAGGCAGAATGATTACAATCTAAAAAGATATTCAAAATCTTTATTTAATCCACTGAGAATAAAAGTACGTGTACCTTGGAAGAGCTGCGCGACACACTGCTGGATGAGTTGCTGTCACTGTTGTGCCCAGATGGACCAGCTACTGCAGAATCACCTACCAATAAGAAAAGCATTTAATCACTGAGAAAAGAACTACTTAAAACTGAACATGAGCAAGACTTACGGTTGATTTTCTTCTTGTATGATGGAGGAGCATGTTTGTCGCAATATCGCCTTAAAAAACACACATCCGGTTGTTACAATGTGATCATATACTGATGTTAAGAGCGATTAGAAACAGAACAAAAAGGGACTGTGAAATACTCACATAGTGATGCTATTAGATAGATTGTCCAAGCTGATCTTTCCTTCTATCTTCTCACAAGTTAGGCAATATACCTTATAAAAATAAAGCATTGTCAGTATAGTGGTGTTCCTTAAATTATATGAAATTAACATCTACTTCTAGATTAATTAATTTAGGAAATTAGGGGCTTAAAAAAAAATCAGTGTATGGTAAATAGTTTTATCAATCAAACCTTTGATGGTCCAGCTTTCGTCTCATCATTGGAGGTCCCATTCACAGAACTGTCGTTATCTGGTCATGAAAAAGAAAAAAATCAACATTTAACATCTCACTGAAAAAACACTGAAAACAAAAGGTTACAGGAACTCGTACTTACTTTTCAGCTTGTTATAGTGTTTTAAGCAGTACAGCCTGTTGCACAGAAACACAAAGTATGAGTTTATTCTCAACTCAATGCATTTTTCTAAACATGCACGCAAACAAGCACGCCGAACTGACCCATAGCACCCGATGTCTGGCTCCTCAATCGTCCGGGCTCCATCTTTAAGAGCACACGGGTAATGGTAGGACTTCTTGCAGCGTTTGACTTCACACCCAGCAGTGGCACCCTTCTTCTTACAAAAGTAGCAAGGCTAAAGCAAACACAAGGATTTGGCATGACTGTTTTTAGCACACAGTTGGTGGGATACGTCTGTTATGATCTGATAGCTTCAACAATCTTTACCAGTTTGTGGCCTCTTTTCACTTCATCTAACACATCGTCCACGGAGAAACCAAACAGGTCGTCAAACTCTGGCGAATTCCGGCAACAGATACCGGAAGAAAATAACTGAAAAACACAAACGGCACGAGTGAGGACAAAACAGACACCAACGCTAAATCAATGATGCACAAGTGTTAAACTGTATTAGACGATGTAAAATGAAGGGATTATTCTTGATTATTATGTCTAAATGAAGAAACCAAGAAAGAAAAGAGGATACCAGTTTATCAGCAGAAATCTGCATCGAATGCAAACATGAGCTTTATTTTACAGCAAGTGGGCAGATGTGCGTGACATCATTCAGATATGAAGAGGTCAAAAGTCCAGCAACACCAAGTAGTAAAAAGGAGAACTGCATCACGAGCTCAACGCTGTCAGATTGTGGCCTTAAGCAGCATCAACATACACTGATATTATTTTATAGAGTGAGAAAAAGAGAAGGAAAAATCCTCACGGACCCCTTCCACCCCGGTCGTCCCCTCTTTGACCTGCTACCCTCTGGACGGTGCTTCAGGTCTCTAAGTACCCAAATATCTCGACACCGGAACAGCTTCTTCCCTCATGAACAATCAGTAACTCATTAAAGACCTCTGTTGTCCTACCTCTGTGCATTACCATTACATGTGCAATTCTCCAGTTACATGGGCAATGTTGTAATTTAAACTTTTCTAATTTATTACTCTGGTTCAAGCAAGTTTATGTCTCTTTCACAGTACTTTTTATTTACATAGTACTTTTATACTTTTGTTCTACATGTAATATTTTATTGTATTTAGAATGTCTTAGATTTAGATTTCTATATTTATTGCCTGTCTTGTTATTGCTGTGTACCACAGTTTTATTCACCACGCCAATCTACTTGTGTGTGTGAGCTCACTTTGCAATAAAAGCTTTCTGTATTCTGTATACTTATTTTGTTTGTTTGTTTGTTTTTGGCAGGGACAGCGCACACTTAAAAGGAACTGCGTCAGAGTTAGCTAGCAGCTAATTTACATCTGTCGTCCCTCAGCAAGCATACAAAAAGAAACCACAGATCAACAGTTACACTACATAAAATAAGACAATAGGCTGAAGTCCATAAATGTCAGATAATAAACAGAACCAGCATAAATAATACATTCAATACAAGGCAGTTACTGGTGGTGACGCTTTGGTGGCAACTTTAGCTAAAGCTTTAAACACTGCATAGCTTTCTGAGTCTCTCATATTCACGAGTATGGGATTCCACTTTCCCACTGCTTTAACTGCAAAGCAGACTGACCAAAAGCTGTGTGTCATCCATATCAATAAAACCATCATTGATCGTCTTGTTGCAATGCATTATCCTGCTGGATACCTTGGAGTCCTGACATTTATGTGGATGTTACTTTGACACGTTCACCTGCCTAAACATTGCTGCAGCAGACTATAGACTGTGTAGCACTTTT